CGGTTGGATTAGTTGTTGAATTGATCAGAGGGGAAGCAGTTGTATCAGACGAGGGTATTCTCTTGCTGAGCCCTTTTCTGGCATTAATGGGTGAATCCTCACAATATCTGCAGCACAGGGATGTTATGCCCGTTTTCCAAATTGAGCGGTAGAGAGGAGAGAGCGTGGCTGAAATTTTCAAAGACGTCTGAGAAAATTGGGCACCTACCCCCCATTGAATTTTAGGAATGAAATTTCACTGTAGGTCAAAGAGGTAAACCATCATGCAAAATGTCTGATCTTACAGGAGAACGTTTGCAAAAGGAGAATACTAGAGGCATGAGCACAACGGATATCTTAGAACCAGCCTACATAGAAAAGGCGGGTGAAAGTCCAGAACTTCAGCTAGTGTACATTTGTATAGCTCCACCCAGTGGGAAGCCGGGCGCAGTCTCTCTTAAAAGCCGAAGTTGAGCTCCCTCATCTCTCTGCAGAGTGTGCGCATCTGCTCTTGTGCAGCTCGGTCTTAAAAATAAATAGAGAACATCAAAGACCCCGAAAGAGCTAAACGCTCACCAGCGAGAAAACAGTGTGCATCGCTTCTCTGAACACCAACTGCAGCCCAGGTGAGTGAGGTCCAGCACGTCTTCATCTTCAGCTACAGGGCTTGATATTACCACTGTTCCTTCATATGCCCAAACTCCCTGGTACCCCTGCTGTATTCCCTTCTCGGGCACACTGTCCACACCATTAGCACCTATTAAACTGCAGCCCCAGAAAGCTTCAGCCCTCTCTCTTTCTGCCATCTACTCTGAAGGGTTGTTTGTCCCCTGTGCCCTGGCGATGGCCCATAGTGTTGAACATCTCGAGTGGTGGTAGAAGGCAGGAGGCCAAAGAGGGGCATTACCTGAAAAGGATAAACATGGTGCATAAGGAAGGAAGCATTCAATGGAATAGAGAGGGGATGTTTGGGCTGAAAATTTTCTTGGCATATCTGTTGGGCTGTGGAATAATCTCCCATGGGAGACAGAGAGCCCCAGAGCTTGGAAATTTTGGAATTAGGCTGGGCAAAGTACAGAAAAATATCCTATGGGGACACAATGCTGTCATGGCTGGGGGATAGATAATACTGAACCATGGCCATTCTGCAATTAAGTGATGCTCTTGTGGGCATTACAGGTCTGGGTGAAGGCTCAGAAGATTCCATTCACGTTTGGAGTCTTCAACCACATTCGTAGTTTATTGTAAAGCCTGGTGATTATTTAGCTGGTCAGAAGATGGGGCAGAATTGGCCCTCCCTCTCATTCCTGTTTGCGATCATCTACTCCACCTTTCAAGTTCTACGCAGTCCCAGATTTTGAATGTTTGAGTAGGAAGCTCCATAGCCCAAGGACTAACTTATTGAAAAACACAAGCAAGAGCTACCCGGTTAAAAGCAAATAAACTAAGCCCGGGCACTGGCTATACATCAAAAAAGCCACTCTCGGGTTTTTAATCCCCGCTATCGGGTCTGCATCACTCACTTGGCTTTCCTTTCCCACTGACAAATAAAGTTCTGTTTATCCTTGGACAGGAATGAAATCCTGCAAGCAAATGTTAGCACAAACTGTTGGTTTGGCTTGAGTTTTGGGCTGACCGGGTGTCTGGTCCTGTGTATTATTTGCTAGTATTGTGACAGCCATCGTGGCTGCAGATGTTGCTTTAAAAGAGAAGTGCAAGTATCTGTGAGCAGATTAGTTTGCTGAGCTGGGTAACATCAGTCAGATATACCCCAGGAGCGTGGTACATTGTGGTGGTTGCCATGCTGACATCCATGAAGAACTGGCTGGTCACATGGCGTCTGATTTTTGTTTCCAGCTTTCCTGTTGTTTTTCTGATCCCTAAAATGTGCTGATTCTTTGGTGTTGAAAATTTAATCCCGACAGTATTTTTTGTTGCTGTTGAGACTCTCCTCAGAATGCTTTTAAGCGCTTTTCCTCCCCCCCCCCCCATTATAGATGGCATGAGGTGAATTATAAAATGACCACACACACACACCCTTTCCTCTGGTGACCTTGGATGTCAATCTGCATGAGCACTTTTATGCAAAGATTCTTAATTGGCATTGAAAATCCATGCTTTGCAACGTGCAAGGCGATAGATGAGCATTATCCTGCCTAGAAATGGCATGGGAAGCAAGTGACATTCAATCAGAACAATTTCAGATGACTTCTTGCACTTGTTTGTTTGCCATTAAAATTCTGAGGTCGGGGGAGGGGGAGAGTTAAGTGCATCTAAAATGTCAAATCTTTTTTAGTGCAAAGCAGCAGCTGTTGCTTGTGTGAGGTTCAGGAATTTCTGCCCATGTAATTTCTTGGCTGCTTCTCGCCTTTTCAAACTGAAGATGAACAGAGAGAGACTCTCTCTGAGTGGTCTTGATTATAGTGCAGGCCATTGCTTATTCTGTCCTTTCACAGCCCTGATGCGTGGAGTTTACTGACGGGCTTTTAAAATGCTGGCCAAAGTAGAGCCTGGTGCCAGTTAATGTCCTGCTGGGAACCTGGGTTGGGGAGAGTCTGAGAGTCTTGGCTTAACAGAAAACATGTTAGCAGATGAAAATGAGGCAAGTCTTTTGAAGGTGGTCGGGAGCAGCCCCTGACTATAGGCAGTGACATGTTCCAAACCTGGGAATGAAAACATAACTGAATACAATGGTGCCTTCCTTCAGCAACAGATGGAAAAGAGAAGACTGAGAGGGGACATAACAGTTTTCAAGTACATAAAAGGTTGGTTACAAGAAGGAGGGAGAAGAATTGTTCTTCTTAGCCTCTGAGGCGAGGACAAGAAGCAATGGGCTTAAATTGCAGCAAGGGAGGTTTAGCTTGGACATTAGGACAAACTTCCTGGCTGTCAGGGTGGTTAAGCCCTGGAATAAATTGCCTCGGGAGGTTGTGGAATCTCCATCACTGGAGATTTTTAAGAGCAGGTTAGACAAACACCTGTCAGGGATGGTCTAGATCAGAGGTCGGCAGCCTTTTAGAAGTGGTGTGCCGAGTCTTCGTTTGTTCACTTTAATTTAAGGTTTTGCGCACCAGTAATGCATTTTAACGTTTTTAGAAGGTCTCTTTCTATAAGCCTCTATATTATATAACTAAACTATTGTCGTATGTAAACAAGGTTTTCAAAATGTTTAAGAAGCTTCATTTAAAATTAAATTAAAATGCTGATCTTACGCCGCCGGCCCGCTCAGCTGGTTGCCGGCCTGGGGTTCCGTTCACCTAGGCTGGCAGCGGGCTGAGCGGGGCCTGTGGCCGGGACCCTGGCTGGCAAGGGGCCGGCGGCCAGAACTCGAGACTGGCAGTGGGCTGAGCGGGGTCAGCGGCTGGGACCCCAGACTGTCAGTGGGCTGAGCGGCTCAGCTTGCTGCCGGTCTGGGGTTCTGTCCGCCGGCTCCTGCCAACCAGGGTCCCGGCTGCCGGCCCCGCTCAGCCCGCTGCCAGTCTGGAGTCCCAGCCCTGTCCACATAGAGTGGGTACCTACCTTCTCCCTGGTTCTAGCCCTTCTCTTCCTCTCTCTGCACTGAGATGAGGGTGGGAGTGTGCTGAGAGCAGGCCTGGGGGTGAAGGAGCAGGTTGGGGTGCAGGGTCTGGCCAGGAGCTAGAATGAGGGAGGGGGCTCAGTGTTGGGGCAGGAGGTTTGGGTGTGAAGCGCTTACCTGGGCAGCTCCCATTTGGTGCGAGGGGTGCAGGTGGGAATGACGGTGTGTGTGTGTGTGTGTGTGTGTGCAGGAGCTCCCGTTTGGTGCTCAGGGTGGGAGTGGGGATGTGGGGGGGTGTAAGAGTCAGGGCATGGGGTGTGGGGGGGCTGGGTATGTGAGGGGGGTGCAGGAGTCAGGGCAGTGGGCTGGGAGGGCTGGGTATGTGTGGGGGGTGCCGGAGTCAGGGCTGGGGTCGGGAGAGGGGGTGCAGGGGTCAGGGCAGGGGGCTGGGGTGTGTGTGGGGGGGTGCAGGAGTAAGGGCAGAGGTCTGAGTGTGTGTGAGGAGGGTTCAGGGATCAGAGCAGAGGGCTGGGGTATGGGGGTGTGTGCAGGGGTCAGGGCAGAGGGCTGTGGGTGTGGGCTGGAGTCGTGGGGGTGCTCCAGCCCCCTGCCCTGAGCGGCTCACGGCAGGGGGCTGGAGGGGTCATGCCCTGATTCCACCTCCTTCCCCAAGGTCCCCGGAGCAGAGACCACGGTGCAGCTCTGCTTTTACTTCTCCCCCTCCCTAGCAAGGGCCCTCAGCTGATCAGCCACAGGGAGGGAAAGGAGGAGGGGCAGGAACCCGGCCCGCTGGGGGAACAGGTGTGGGGAGGGGGAAGCTTGCCTGCCCTGCAAGGAGAGGGCGGTGGGCGGGGGAGGCAGAAAAGGGCAGGCCGGGTAGGATTTTTAATGGCCCGCTGCTGTCTGCCCGGGTCCGGCAGACAGCAGCGAGCCATTAAAAATTGGCTCGCGTGCCGTGTTTGGCCCGCGTGCCATAGGTTGCCAACCCCTGCTCTAGATAATCCTTAGTCCTGCCATGGGTGCAGGGGACTGGACTAGATGACCTCTCGAGGTCCCTTCCAGTCCTGTGATTCCCAGGAGGCAGGTCTTGTGCATGGGGGCTTGAAATGGGCTGGTTCTTTTTGAGACCCTGTGTGACTGGGGTCCTGGGGAGCTCAATCAGGGCAAACTGCAAAGAATGGGGCAGACAATCCTCATAACCGATGGTTATTTCAATACGTAGATTCATCAAGTTAGCCTCAAAACAGCTTCTATAATACCGTACAAAGAAAAGGAGGTCTTGTGGCACCTTAGAGACTAACAAATTTATTAGAGCATAAGCTTTCGTGGGCTACAGCCCACTTCATCGGATGTGGAACGCTGAGGGAGGCTTGACCTTCTCCAGGCTGCAGATGATCAGCATCTTTCCTGCCGGTTTTTTGGTTGTGGGTGGGGCAAATGGTTCCCAGCATGAGCCTGCTCCCTTCCGAACTGATCTCGAGTCAATTTCTCTTTTCCCCCTCAGACAGAGGTGAAAACGGGGAGCCCTATCAGAGGCGGAAGGGCGTTGGAGCCAGCCAGTCAGAAGTCCCATCTGCATCTCAGACTTCTGGAGACAGCGCGTTGACCCCAGGAAGTAGCAGTTGGAGGCGAATTATGCTGCTCATTCTAGCTGTAACGATACATAACATTCCAGGTCAGCACCTTGTCTGCTTTCAGTTGCAGGGTGGGTGTAGCCGTGTTGGTCCCCGGAGCTGATAGAGATGAGGTGAGCGAGGTGATATCTTTTATTGGACCAATTTCTGTTGGTGGAAAGGACAAGCTGTCAAGCTTCATAGAGCTCTTCTTCCGCTCTGGAGAAGGTAACCAGAGTGTTTATCATACCTTCTGTGCGACCCTCTTGGGCTTAACAATCTGTCCTACCTTTTATGTAGCTTAGACACTCTGATTACCTTTTCCAGACCTAAGGAAGAGCTCTGTGAAGCTCAAAAGATTGTCCCTTCCATCAACAGATGTTGGTCCAATAAAAGATACTATTTCACCCACCTTGTCACTTGCAGTGGCCTGTTCTTGAAGGTGTCATTTCCTCGGTTGGATGAGAGGCATAGCCTAGTTGATGCCACCACATCAAGGATTTTGGAATGGCTGCTTTGTTTTTTATAGCTGTTTGATTATTGCAGATGGCTCCCATCACAGTAGCATCTGGGCACCTTTTTGATTAAATCTACTACAGCTGGTCTTGCTTGTCTGTGTTCATGTTATTCAGTCCTGTAAAGGCTGAATCACCAACATACATTAGCAGGTGGCAGTTTCGGGAGAATGCCTCCTGACTCTGCACTGTGTTCTAAATTCCCTGGGTCTCCCCCTACTGCCAGCCCCAAGTGTTTAAAAATCATATCAGACTCCCCTCCTCCATCCCCCCAAATCACAAGAGTTAAAAATCATGAGGTCTTAAAAATAATGACTGTTTGGCTTTTTATTTGTCTGCTGGTCTTTGTGCTGATAGGGGTTGCATTTTCAAGCTTTGCTCTGTAACCATGAGGGACAGAAACGTTTTCTTTTTGGTTAATTAAAAAAAAGCTGAGATTCTCACAATCACATGAATCCAGGAGCTGGGGCTTTAAGAAAAACTGATATCACAGGACTGGCATTAACATTGTGAGAGTTGACAACACTTAGTTGCTTTGTAATTCTTTGTTATGCTGGGGGTAAGACAGGATAACGCTTTGTCTGCTTTCCTTGCGTGCTCTTTTTCCTCCCCTTTCTATCTCTTTTCCTTGTTAGAAGAGCTCTTATTTGATTTACGTGTGTAACCTGTGTTATGGAGGGATATGCTGATCTACATAGCTTTGCCTTTGGGGAGACTGAAATGCTGGATTCTCTGTGCTCGCTTGAGAAAGCAGGATTCCAAAACATGATGACTGTATCACTCTGTGGCAGGGTAGCTGCTACCGCATACTAAACACAAAAGACACTCTTCCCATCAAAACTGAGACTCTGGAAGTTTCCTTGTTCTGGTGTGTGTGCTTTTTGATTTTAAGGGTGGCTTCTTGCTGCTGTGGCAGAACTGTAATTTTAAATTTTGTTATTGGATGCTTCTCTGTTCTGTTGACTCATGTGAAAAGGCTCAGAATTATGTGGCTTTGATCACAGCTCTTGTATCCACTTCAAGGACAGTCAGGAGCCAAATGCCAAAAAAATTGTAGAAATATGAAGCTGGAGGTAGTAGCCGTGGGTTGGTGTGTGTGTGCGCTTTCTGCTCATGAATTTCAAAAACTGCATTCTTTCCATCCTTCTGTTGCTTGCTTGTCTCTTTGAAATCAGTTGCTTCATTTCAGCCTGTAATCATTTTTCACTGTCCTTCATTGCTCCATCTACTGCCTCTTGGTGGAGGCATTCACTTAACTAGGCTTTCTGTGATCCCAAAGAGGGTGCACGATAATATCTCCGCTTCACCTTTTGTTGGATGATCTTCAAGTGCTTTGCTAACGCTAATTAATTGTGCATCCCAGGACTATGATGGCCTTGTCTGTATTAGCAAAATTAGTACTTGTTTTTCAGCAAGTGTTAACCATGGTGTAGCTGCATCAGTGCTAAGCTGCAGGTATAGGAAAAATTCCGGGGTTTTTATCATGCGCCTGTGAAAACCTGCTCTAGATTCATTGAAACTGCTTGAAAGCTTGTGCAGGCTTGTATCACTGAGTGGCCAGTGAGCAAGTACAAGATTAACTGCAAATAAAATGTCATCTAATGCAGCATTAGGGTTGATTATTTAAACTTGCAAAAGCCAAGAATCTCTGATTTAAAATTCTCCCAGGTGCCACAAATCCAACCTGAGTGTGCTATATCTCATTGTTTAGCACTGGCTATAGTGACATATTGCGCAGAGTATTTATTTTACAGTGTGAACAAACTAGAGGGTGGATGAAGACAAGTAGTAAATTCAGCATGCTGAGCCTTTTGATCTGGGATAGGAATACAGGAATTGCCTGGGTGGGTCAGTGGAATAATCCATCTAGCCCAGTGGTCTGTCAGCTGTTTTAGAGGAAGATGCAAGAAACTCAGCAGTCGGCAGTTATTACTCCTGAGGGCATTCTGTGCCAAGAAAATTTTAAAATTCTGCGCACAATATTTTAAAATTCTGCAGGTGTGGGTCGAAAGGGTTTTGTGTGGGGCAATCTGGGTGCGGGCGGCTCAGTGTGGGAGCTTGTTGGGGGGTTCTGGATGCAACGGTAATGGGACTCTGCAGGGGGGTCCAGGTGAAGGTGGTTGGGACTCAGCGGGGAGGGGGTGTCTGGGTGTGGGGGGATAGAGCTCAGCTGAGGGGTCTGGGGTGGTGAGCTCAGTGGGTGAGGGTCCAGATGCTGGGGGAGTGGGGATTAGTGGGGAGGGGATCTAGGTGCAGCTGGTTGGGGCTCGGTGGGGTGGGGTGGGGATCCAGGTGCGGGTGGTTTGTCGGGGTGGTCCAGGTGCAGGGGGAAGTGGGGCTCATCAGGGGGGTTCTGAGTGCGGGGGCTGTTCTGAGTGCAGGGCGGTGAGGCTCAGCAGGAGGGTCTGAGTATGAGGGGGTCTGGATGCACGGGGGTTGGGTGAATGGGGGAGCAGCTCCCTGTACAGGGACCCCACCCCCTGCAGCTGAGAAGCAATGGGTGCAGGAAGCTGGGGGCAGGGGGAGTTTGCAGAGATTCTTGCAGCCAGGGGAGAAATCTGGGGGTTGGGTCTGACCCAGCCCCAGGTGCCGTGCAGGGGACGAAGAAGTCCCATCCTGCCCAGCTGGGACTAGCAGCTGAGCCCGGTGCAGGGTAGGAGCCACCAGCTGGGTCTTCCCCAGTCCCGCCTCCTGCCCCACAGTGATTTACCCCTCTGATGGCTGCCCTAGGCACCTGAAACATACTGCTGGGGAGGGTCGCATGACCGCTCTTGTGGATTCCCTGTCAAAAAGTCATTTTTCTGTGGGGAAGTAAAGAAATCTGCGGGGGACATAAATTCTGCGTAATTCCCCCAGGAGTAAGTTATTGGAACGTCTCCTAATCAGTTTATGCCCTTAGGCCTCGTGACTTGATATCTAAATTGATTGATGCCCATTTTCCATTCAAAAACTCTTGGTTTGGGGTTTTTTAATACTCTGATAATTACCCAATTAACACTCCTGTCTTTTTTTGTTAAAATCTTCGCCTAAATGATCCCTTGTGGCAATGAGTTCCACAGGCCGGTTCTGCATTGTGTGAAAGCGTGTTTCCTTCCTTCATCTGTTTTGAATTTGCTGCTTCTTGTTGCGTGCCCCCTTGCTCTCTTGTGTGAGAAAAGAGGGCGAACAGCTGTACCTGATGTATCTTCTTTATAGGAGTCTTCACTTCACGTATTTTTATCATGAGATGCAAAAAACTATAAAGATGAGGTTCTTTTAGTTGTTCTCTTCTGTTGGGGCATTTGGGGTTCACATTTTCAAGCTCTTCTCTTTAAATTAAACACTTTTTAAATTAAAGCTGGGATTCTTAGTTAATAAGAGTGATTTCAGCCATGGGTGGCTTTAGGAAAAATGCCAAATACCGTGAGACTTGTGATAAACTCATGAGAGTTGGTCGTATGAATTTTCAGAAGTGCTGACATAATCCGTTGCCTTCAGGGAGAGTTTTACCATTGAATTCAGTGGGAGCAGAGTTAGGCCAATTCTGTATGCCTGAATCTCCACCAGAAAACTCCACTTGATTGAGTCAGTGAGACTCGTGTCTGCAAAATGAGTTGTGTGTAACTTTCCCTGTATGCAAGCAAATCCTGACTGGTCTCCCAAATTAGGAAAATCTGTTCCTGGTTCCTTGAGTGGCTTTTCTCTTTCTCAGGAATTTTTGTAGTTTGTGATTTAAAAAAAAAAAAAATCAGTTTCCACCTTCTGATGTTTTTAATTCAGCTTCTTCCAATCTGGCACATCCCATACGTGATAAACTCAGTTGCTGAGTTGTAACAACTTGAAATCTGTGCTTACAGCTATAAAACTACAGCACAGGAAAACAATTTGTCTTAATTATGAGAGTTCTCTGACTAATAAACTACAGACAGTGCTTTCAGAGATCTCAAATAAAATCTGTGGGATCTTAATTGAATAGGAATTTGTAAAAAATGTTGTTTTTTAAAATAAAGAAAACATTTGCTTTGTGTTGGAGATTAAACTGATTTTAATCCCTTTTAATTAAAGCAGGTGAGCAGCAGACCTCCCACATGGACTCTTCCACCGTCTGGGAGAACCAGGGGACATAAATTCACATATCCCTCCAAATCAGACTTTTGTTCAAATGTATGATTTGGCTTGTGGTACTGTGCCTAGGAGTTGCAGTGCTGGATTTGGTAGTGGCAGGTGCTTTGCAAACACAGAACCAAAAGGTTGTCCGTGCCCCAAACTAAGTGCAAGCTACTACCAAAATTAAGATCTCTCGGAATAGTGACTTTTTTTTTAAAAGAAAAACACCGGTAATGCTTAGTTAAAAGCAAAGACGTCGCCATTTGCGTTTGCAAACCCCTCCCCTCCAAAAGGGAAACTGACTGTCATTGTACTATGTCTTGTACAGCACCTACCACAATGGAGACCTGCTCTGGGACTGGGACTCCTAAGCATTACTGCAAAACAAATAATAATGAGCAGTTGCACTAATTGCAGTGTGGAGTGCTCATGAACAGCATGAAGATAGGGCGGTAGCTGCT